ATGGTTTAGACAAGATGATGGGACCAACATGGTAGAGGCAATGTGTTGGAAGCAAGAAAGCATTGGCCAGACGGCAGAGCCAAGATGGTGGAAGCAAGACGGGAACAGGCAAATGGGCATAGGCAAGAGAATTGAGGCAATATGACAAAGACAAGACAGCTTTCTTACACTCAGTCTTCCAAGTTAAGTCCTTCCCAACCCCTCCTTTCGCCACACCACCCATCCCAGCCTTTGCAATCTGGAGGTTATTTTCTCTGTGGCTATCATTTCCTTTGTAAAACTCAGCTTCCATCCGGCTATCAATAAACCTCAACTGCCCACCATATATGCAACGCACAGATGGTAAGAGACAGGGTGGGATGCAGAAGTCTAAAATAGGGCCCCAGTCCTTTAAAAAAAAAAAAGCCTTGAGTCATTTCTGGACTCCAAAGTTAAACCCACTGAGGCATCAGAGCTCGGGCTAAGACTGCAAAATGACCATCACTAAAACCTTGAACAGCTCAGTGCAACAGGATGGTTGCCCACATAACGTTTGACAACCCTCAGCCACAAGAGCCAAGCCTGAAAGCATGGACAGAATTGAGGACTGTGCAGAGAAATCCATATAACCAGCTCCTCTCAAAGACTGAGTTGCAATGTGTAGGCTACTGAGCCTAAGGTCAATGACAGGTGTCTCAGCAAAGAGCCAGAGGTGACACCAATTATGAGCATAAAGATGGTGAACCTCAGAGAAAACAGCCTGGGCAGACCTGTGATCCCGCCACTGAGAAGGTGGAGGCAGGAGGATCAGGAGTTCAAAGTCATCCTTGGCTACTTAAGGGAGCTTCAGGCTAGTCTGCACTACATGGATCCAGCCTCAAGGCACAAGCTCAAACAAGCAAAAACAATCCAGCAAACCAAAGCCCAGAGGTTGGTGGAATCTCCAAGAATTTCTCCTGCTAGACCCCAGAGGCCACAGGAAGGCTTTAAGTAACCCGAATGATTTTTTTGTTTGTTTATTTGTATGTCTCTTGTTGCTCTGGAGATCAAACTCAGGACCTTGCACACACTAGGCAAGCATTTTGCCACTGAACTATATCCCTAGACCAGCTCCGAGCAACTTTAAAAATGCCAGCTTCATATGGCACTAAGAAGTTGGCTATGCGATACTGTGTGCCCAGTGTCTCGCTCTAGTTGAGGAATAAAGAACCCTGATTCTTTATTCACTTGTCAGTGGCAATGGGTCAGGTGCACAGCCTGAGCCCCAATGAAGCCCTGGTCACAGTTCTCTGTATACCAGGAAGAGTCCTACCTCCCCGCTCCCCCAGCCTCCTGGTACAGCAGGCAGCCTGGTATAATCAATGGAATAAGTCAATCCTCCAAACAAGAACAAAGACTGGTGCCCCTGACGGCAGGGTAGAGATGGGGAGGGTTTTCTCCACATCACAACCTTTCCTTGCTCTAGCCCTCCAGGTTGCATGCCCCTACAAATCACACACAGGGTCCTGGACGACAGATCTGCCAAGTCCCAGTTTGAAGTCATAGCTTGTCCAGGAAAGCTCTCAACTGGACGTCACTGAGCCAGCTTCCAGCCTTCCTCTTCTAGCTCCCCCACTCAACCAGTCAATTTTTTTCCTACCTTCCTACCCATCCCACTCCCTGCCCGGGGAGTTTCACCAACCTTTCATGTTGAGACAGATTCATGTAGACCAGGCTGGCCTCCATAGGCAGCCAAGGATGGTCTTGAAGTCTTAATCCTCCTTTCTCCTCCCTAGGGCTGAGCTTAGAAGTTTGTGCCACCATTCCTGGTTGAGGCAGTGTTAGGGATAGAATTTAGGGCCTCTTGCAAGCTAGGCAAAGGCTCCACCAACTGAGCTACACCTGCATTTCCCTAGCATGGGTATTCTCTGCAAAGCAAAAGGTTCAGAGAAAGAAGCCAGACCCAGAGCCCCTTGGAAGCAAATCTTGGCTTCTTGCAAGTCCCACCCTGCCAGCTGACTTTGCAATCTCAATGTGCCGTCTGCCTTTGCTAGGTTTGGTATAGGCAGAGGTGTGTCTGATGGAGAGAGTGAGACATTCATTACAGGCAAAGTCTCCGACCCTACTCCCTGCCTTTTGAAAAGGAGCCCCTAGGACATGGAGCCCTGAATTCTGCATACACATAGATCCTGCAAGGGATTTTAATAAGTAATGTCCAGGCAGGAGAGTGGAACGGCAGCTAAGAGCCTCTGCCTTCAGGCAACAAGTTCCAGAGTCATGTTAAAGCCCTAATAGTCACTGGGTGGCTGCCAGCAAATCTCAAAGGGACAAAGAAGGGCAGGTGCCTGCAGGGTCGTTGCAAATGCTAAGGAGGTCATGCATGTCTGCTACCTAAAAACACACCCCAGAGTGGTCCGAGAAAATGACTCCATTGGGTAAAGTGCTTGCTGCACAAGACTTGCTAGCATCTGCCTATAATCCTAGCGCTGGGGAGGCTCAGAAAAGATAGTCACAGCGGCTTGCCGGTCAGTCTAGCCAGAATGGCAGGCTCCCGGTTCAGTGAGAGACTGTGTCTCAAAGAACAAGGCAGAGAAGTGACTCTCAGCTTCTACATGTATGCATGTACACATGCATTCCCACCACAATAAATAAATGAACACGTTAATTAATAAACAAGTATAGTACCACACAGAACTTTTATAATTGCCATTAAGAGGTGTGGCCATAATGTATCTTATGTCACTAATGGAAACTCTTACTAAGATGACCTGCTACAGACTAATGTGTTCCTGAATATAGCTTGAGAGAGCAAGCTCTGGCTCTTTTCGGGGTGTCTTATGAATGTGCTTCTGTGGGTATTTATGCAGAAAAATAATTTCAGCCTCCCAGCTCTCCTCATCTAGCCAGGCTGGCCCTACACTTCTGGTCCTCCTACCCCATCTCCTGAGTGCTGAGAGCATGCTCTTCTGGTTGCTCTGGAAATGAACTGAGGGGTTTAATCTTGTTCTGTTCATTTTGTCTTGAGGTCTTGGGAGAAGAGCTTCAACACAGCCTTGGTGGGCTGTCCCAATGGTCTGGTCTCATGACCTGCCTGTGAGAGGTGTAATTAGGACCACAACTTCACACTACAGGTGCAAGTTCAGAGCCCCCTGGGAACTAATGATATGATGCTAAGGGGACTATAACATCTTTTCATGATTGCAGGAGGCTGCCCCCACATCCCTCTCATCAAAAGGCAAGAAGAAAGCTGTCTCCCCCAGTCCTCGGCCACTTGTCCTGAGGCTGGCCTGACACTCTCACCAGTGGAGACAGGTAAAGTCTGGTCCCCAACCCAAGTTTACACAGGTTATATGTAAACTTCACAGATCCGTGTAGTTCATTTATCAAAAAAAAAAAAAACTGTTATACTTTAAAACTCAGAGCCAGCCCGGGAGATGGCTTAGTGGGTAAAGGTAATCAAGCCTGAGGACCTAAGACCATCCAGGAACCCCGTGGTAGATGAAGAGAGTTGACTCTCCTAAGTGTTTTTTCTGACCTCTATATGTGGTCTGTGGTATGTATTCACCATCCCAAAATACATAACACACACACACACACTTTTAAATTCAAAGTAGGAGGCTGTAGATAGAAACATGCACTTTGGGACCAGGAAGATGGCTCAGTTGGTAAAACACTTGCCTTGCAAGCATGAGGAGCTCTGAGTTCTGTCCCCAAAGCCAACATTTTTTTAAAAGCTGGGCATGGTAGCATGTCCTTATAATCCCAGGGCCAGAGGTAGAAACAGCTGGATCCCTGGGCATGCTGACAGACCAGCCTCACTCTGCAAGTACCAGGTCAGTGAGAGACCCTGTGTCAAAATATCCAAGGTGAATGTTTCTGAGGAATGAAATTCCAGGTTGACCCCTGCCCTATATGTGCATGCGCATGCACACACACACACACACACACACACACACACACACACACCTGCACACAGACCACAGATACATGAAAAGAAATCTCTGCCTTGTAGCCAAGAACAAGGGCTCTGTGGTCAACCAGCCTCTCAAATACTACTTACTGACATCAGTACACAGGCAATGTGGTTAACTTCCCCCAGTCTGGTTTGCTGGGTTCTCCTGTGAGGGAGGGGCTGGAACCTCCCTGGACTAACGGTAATGTCCTACCACCGAACGCGCGGAGCTTGTAATGTCTCTCTAGTACACAGCCAAGAATTATTATCAGTCATTATAACAGCTGGCAGTTCCTGGCCATGGAAACATGCATAAGGTTGGGAAGGAAAGAAAGGGCTAGACATGTGTACAGGCTCAGTCTTCTTTATACTAGACAGACGATGTGACACGTGAAGACAGCAAGTGCACAGGGACCATGAGTCCCTTGGACCACATGGAAACAGCGATGGGCTCCACTGACCCGGCCCTTTTACGGTAACTCCTGTAGAATATTTTAGATGGGACGGGTTCTGGAGAATGCTACAAGCCTAGATACCTTGCCTCCTTGTTTGTCTGAACTTTGTGAATGAACATCTGCTTCCCAGACTCACCCAGAACTTGATCCTCGGTTGCTGCTTGGTTCAGAATCTCACCCTGCACCCAGGCAGAGGGAAAGGGAAGAGTCTGCCTCCTTAGTGATGCATCCAACCTAAAGGGAAATACTGTACCCATTCAAGCCTCCACTTCGCAAGCCATGACACCCACTTCGCTACCAGCTCCATCAAACACCATGCACTGACAGCTATTTCCTTCCTAGATGTCCCTAGCCTGCAGTCCATCCTGTCTAAGCTAGAGTCAAGTCACAGGCAGAGACGGAGTCAACTATAGTGACATGTTTCTAGCGTAAGACCAAACTTCCAGCTTGAGTGCATTATGGGAAAGAAGCAGGTAGTGGTTTCTACAATAGTCCCAGACACTGAACCGGAATGGAAGCGAGAAATCAGACTCATTCAGATGTCATCTTAGAGTAGACAGAGCACAGAGAGCCAGGGAGATCACCCTGTGCCCCCGCACGCACAGCGACCCACGGGCGTCAGCGCACGTCCTTACCATTAAGCTGCCGGTAGACGATGTCCTCCAGCAGCGACAGGCGCTTCAGGACCGCATCCTGGATGGGGCTGGCGCTGTGCGCACTGAGGTTAGCCACCTCTGCGCGAGGCCGGATCTCATGGAAGGCGTCTCCGCTGCGCACCGCGATAGGCCGGCACTTAGCCAAGAAGATCACAAAGCCGGCCACCGCTATCAAGTTCAACACCAACAACACTTTGACTCTCCTCAGTGAAGCCATCAAACAACACGGCTGGTCCTTTCCCTGGACCCACGCCTCTACCAGCCTCACCTGCGAGGCGCAGGGCAGTCTAAGACCGTGCAGACCCTTCACACCTGACAATGGCCAGGAGTGGGTTAGGGGAATCCCAGTTGTTGCCGGCTACAAAACGCCGATGCTCAGGCGACAGAGACCACTGGGAAGACACAGCTGCTGGGGACCAAGCGTGATCACTCTTATGGAAAGCCTCTGGTTTGCAAAAGTGTCCCTGAAATATCTGCTTCGTCCACAGCACGCAGTCACTTCTAAGAGGCAGCAAAAGATAAAGGTCCCGGGGTCTCTCCCCGCTGCACCCAGAACAAGTCGTCTTTGGACTTTGGACCTCCGGAGACGTGGACCTTCAGGAACAACCCGAAGGTAGTCGGAATGCTCCCGAGACGTGGCGGGAGTGGCGCGCAGGTGCCTGGCTCCAGCTCTGCGCCCGCCGGCGGAAGAGCGCGCCACTATTGGAGTTGCACTGCCGACACTCCCGCAGGCGCCCGTCGCGGGGCTAGGACAGCGTTCTTCAGCAGAGGACCTGCTCCTCCGGGCGGGTGTCTTTGTTCAGCTCACCGGCCCTCTCCATCACTCCGGGAGGAGGAAAAGCCCGCTCCCGTTGCCCGCATCCTCCAGGCTCCGCAGTCACGCTCAAATCTCAATGACTCTCTCAAAGTGGGGGGGGGGGGGGGGGGAGCAGGAAAGGGGCGGGAGCAGGAACCCAGTGCTGCGTCCTCTCCGCCCCCACCCCGCCCGCAAAACTCACCAGTGCGCACAGCGCCACGGGTTACCGAACACGTTCCAAGTCCCCACACGAGCCTCCGGGCCTGCCGGACACACTGGCCTGTCTCAGGAGGTGGCGCGTCGCGAGGCTGGCCGGAAGGAAGAGTCGGACCTCCAAAGTCACACCAGTTTTCTACACGCTTCTCTAAACGTCGCGGGGGAGGGATGCGCGCTGGTGCCTCCGCCGCCTGTCACCACGGCCGGTGCCGCTCGTCCCAAGCCCTCAGGGGAACCAAGATCCGAGTGTCCCAATCACTGGACGCAATGACACCGCTGCTGCGGCACTGAGAGTACACACTGTCTCCCAGGGGGATGGTGGGATAGACCGGAGCAGCTGGGGAGACAGGAGGGGATGCTCAGGTGGTGACGGAAGGCGGGGCGCGGTCCCGAGGGGAGCGGCTGCGGCGCCGACTCCTCCTCCGCGGTCCCTTGGTCACCCTCTTCCCCGAGAGACAGTCGCCACCGCCGCTGCCACCCGCAGGCTGCGGAGCGCACAGCCAAGGGAAGCTGGCCCGCTCTTGCGCGCGCACCCGGAAAGGGTGGGGGCGTCAGGAGAGAGTGGGTAGCGCGCGGGACCCGGGAGCAGTCAAGTCATGTTGGCTGCTAAGGGCTGCGAGGGACCCTTGGGGTTCTCAGCGCTCTCTAAGCGGGCTGGTTTGTTCCATCCCGGCAGACGAGGAAGACGTTCCTTTCTCTTGGCTAAGCTGCTCTGCTTAGCTTGGCCCGGAATGGCTAGAGGGAAAATCTGGCCTGGAGACTCGGATTCCGCTACTTTCGGAGCCAGGCCTTGTGTCCTTCTTGCTAGGGCCCTGAGAGACTTCTGACCATCCGAGTTGCTGCTTCTGTGCTCACCCACACTTCAGTAAACATCTTATTAGTAACACACGGATTTATGGCCCTAATGGGTCTCCACAACCTCCTTCTTTTCCGGAGACCCAGGAGTGCCAAAGACTGGAATCCAAACCTGCCCTCTGATTCTTTAATTTGTTAGGCCAAAGAAAGAAACCAGGCTACCAACAGACAGCTGAGTGAATTGAGGGGCTTTCCCTTCAGTCTTCCTATCCCATGAAAGTTTATTGTCGCTCCTTGGTTAGTTTTGTTTGGTTGGTTTTGGGTTTAGGCTTCTAATTGGGGCAGGGTGAGGGAGAGTGGGTGGATTTGGGGTTTGGGGTTGGGATGTAGTTCTGTTGTTGAACTGAAGTTGAGTGCTTGCTGAGACCTCAGCTGGATCCCCAGTTCTTCACAATCCAGTCTTGCTGGTGGCAAACCTATAAGCCCAGCATTTAGAGGATCAGGAACTAGAGATCCTCACTGCTGCAAAGTAAGTTCCAGATTCGCTTGGGTTCCTTGTAAAGGGGAGAGGGGGTATTTTTTTTCTTTGTTTGTTTGGACTTTGTTGGGACTTTGCTGTTTCTTTGATTATTCAGTCTCCCTTAGCCTGGGCTGGTCCCTAACTCCTGATTCTTGACACTCTTGACCTCCCGTCCCAAGTACTGGGATAACAGTCACAGTCACCAAGCCGGGGCCCTCCATTTCAGCAGAGAATTTTTTGTTTCTTTGCAGGGGATGTTTTCTGCTGCCATTGCTTGTTATGTTAAACAACAGCAGCAAGCACCTTTACAGTTTTTCATACTGGGGAAAAAAAGGTACATGGAAGGCCAGGGGTGGTGGTTGAGTGTGGTCTGCTGCTCAGAGGAGACAGGAGGACCTTTTACTCAAGGCCAGGCTGGGCAGTTTGGCGAGGGTCCTACCTTCAAATAAAATAAAGGGAAAAATGACAGGGATATAGCTCACTGATATAGTACTTGCTGGACACATGTGAGGCCCTCAGTTTAATCCCCAAAGAAAGGGAGGAAAGGGGGAGCATGAAAAACCATAACAATCTTCATTTCTTTTCTAATATCTTATTCTTTTCTTTTTATTACATTGTTAGTGTGCCCTGGGCATGTGAGCGTGTGTGCATACACACGTGTATGTGTATGTATGTATGTATGTATGTATGTATGTATGTATGTATGTAAGCCCACAGAGACCAGAAGGAGATATTTGATTCCTTGAACTAGAGTTACAGGTGTTTGTGAGTCACTGCTGAGGGTGCTTGGATCCTACGGGGTTTGAATAGGTGTAGGCCCCATAGACCCACGTGTTTAAATGCTTGGCACCTAGGGAGTGGCACTATCAGGAGGTGTGGCACTATCAGAGTAGGTATGACCTTGTTGGAGAAAGTATGTCACTGATGGAGCAGGCTTTGAGGTCTCAGAAGCTCAAGTCTTGTCAGGATGTCTCAGTTTCCTTCTACCTGTGGGTCAAGATGGAGAACTCCCAGCTACCTCTCCAGCACCATGTCTGCCTGCATGCCACCATGCTTCCCACCATGACGACAATGGACTAAACCTCTGAAACCATAAGCCAGCCCCGATTAAACATTATTCCTTTATAAGAGTTGCTTTGATCGTGGTGTCTCTCCACGGCATTAAAAACCCTATCTAAGACAGATTCCAATTCTGCTTCTCCTAAAAGAGCAGTAACATCTCTCTAGTTCCATTTCCTTCCATTTAAAAAAAATACTTAGCTGCATATGTGTCTGGGTATGTATTTGAGCCACAGCCCACATGTGGAGGTCAGAGGACAACATGCAGGAGTCAGTTCTCTCCTTCTGCTCTGCAGGTCTCAGGGATTGAACCCTAGTAGTCAGACTTGGCAGCGAGCACCTTAACTTCCCTGAGCTAACTCACTGGCCTCCAGTTTTATTTTTCACTTCTTTGGAGCCTGCTTTAACAATATCCTTAGGGTATTGAATTTTTATAATCTACAAAAAATGAGTACAAAAAAACAGTTTAATAAAAAGCCATATCAAAAAACATGGAAAAAGCACTTTTATACATCTGTGAGATAAGAGTGAAGCTGGTGCAAGGCAACCCTGGCTTTCAAGGACTTCAGATCATCAGGGACCCGTTGAGGCCGGGTCTCCCCACAGTTGTTCACTGAAGACCCAGGGCACCCAGTGTCGTTAGAGCCACAGCAGAGGCTAGGTGGTGAAGGGCTGGAAGATGTGTTGTTCTTACTCAATCCCACATTTGTGGGTCACCCTTCCTGCATCCTCCACCCTCCCAAGATACGAGACAATGTAGTCAGAATATAGCATACCATACTAATTTCACCACGGTTTTCTATGACATGAGAATCTTCAGGTATTGAGATGCAAGGGAAATCTGGTTTGGTTGGATTAGGTTTGAATTTGGGTTTGATTTTTTAGCTCAATTTCACTATGTAGCCCAGACTGACCTAAACCTTGTGATCCTCCTGCCTCATCTTCTCAAGGACTAGCGTTACAGGTGCATACCACCAAGCCCAGAGTGTGAACTGTTTATTTTTTATGCAACGAAGAATGGATAGTCATGTAGAAAAGCAATAGGATAGAACAAAAAGACCTGCACTGAAGATAATAGATGGAGGGTGGTGCTCTACCACTGAGCCACACCCCAGCCCCTCACTGGGGGATTCTAGGCAGGGGCTCTACCACTGAGCCACACCCCAGCCCCTCACTGGGGGATTCTAGGCAGGGGCTCTACCATTGAGCTGCATTCTCAACACAGGATAGGGTTTTAACTGTAGGGTTATAGGACCTGAGTGTGACTATGAAAATGTGGTTGTTGGTGTGTCCATGATAGTGGGCCAGTCCTTGCGATTAGAATGTAAATAGTCTTTTGTGAACACAGATGCTCCACAAACTGCTTGTGTATGCTGGGGAGAGATAAGTCTGTAGCTATAACATGAAGTCACCAGCTCATCTAGGTCAGAGGGTCTCATGAAGTGTCTGGCTAGCTAAGGTAAAAATCAAAAGCTCTGAAGTTGGAACTGGCCTGTAAACTCCCCCATTCCTCGAACTCTGTTCCCCATTCTTTACATTTGTTTCCCCTGTCTGGAAATATGAGCATAGTTGGGTGTCATACCCACCTGGGTTTATAGCCATGTACTGATAGAAAAATAAAAAACACCCCACATAGCCTTTGCATTTGAATATTTGGTTCCAATTGGTGCTACTGTTTGGGAGGTTTATGGGACCCTCAAAAGGTGCGGCCTTGCTAAAAGAAGTATGTCACTAGGTATAACAGGCTTTTTCTTTTTGAGCCACCAACCAGCTCCTAAATCATGACATGGAGACTTATTATTAGTTTTGAATGGTCAGCCTTAGCTAAGCTCTAATTTTAA